AGATGTGTATAAGAGAACTGAATAGGGGTGTCCCAAGGAGGGGGTTCTACTGTTCTCTGCGAGAAAAAAAAATCGCAAGTGATTCGGGTGGGAATCGAACCTCCAGATAACTAGCCTGGTGCCATAACCCACCGAAACTTGCGCTTAATGACTGTGCTGAATCCCTAAGCAGCAGAGGGTAGTGCAATCATATTACATTATTAATAAGCCTAGAAGGATCATAGTTCAATAAATTTCCATATGAAGGGAATTTTCTGACTTGTTTAACATACAATTACTTCCAGGGAAAACGAACTACATAATAGATTAACGGTGACCATTTCCTTAACGTAGTTATCGATGATCATTTCCGGAATCTTCGGATTACATTATATTGAGGATACGCACCGAAGAACGCTAATAATAGGCAAAGCGTTGGACTGTAAGTGCACCAGTGATCAAACAAACCATATAATCCTTTCTTTTCTTGGATGAAGCATATATTTATTTCACCCCTCTCAGATTGATAACTGTACGCCTATTGATAATCGCTGACACCATGGATCATTCCCCAGAAGACGAACTGCAATTTTCGCATCAGCCACCCCTACAAAATGACACTGATTCAGATAACAAATACGTTCTCTCGACCGAAGACTGGATAGCCTTCGTTGGACTGTGGCTAGTAACACTGTTCACTATCGCGGGAAACACTCTTGTTATTCTGTCTTTTATTAGAGATCGAAATCTTCGAAAGAAACCTTCGAACCTTTTTTTACTTGGTTTAGCCATAACGGATTTGATAACGGGATTGGTAAGTTTACCATTGGACAACATGTGGCGCTATAAAGGTGAGTGGCCCTACGGACGGTCTGTGTGTATCTTTTGGACATTTCTAGATTACACGGTCACCATCCAATCAGCTTACATAATTTCGCTGATATCTGCCGATCGATATTTTTTGGTAACAAAGGGTCTCCGTTACAAGGTATTTCAAACACATCGCCGAGTTCTAATACAACTAATTGGAACACTGTCCATTTCGTTTGTTTTCCATCTGGTTGCTATCCTCTGGTTTGAAGGAACAGGAAAAGAGAATGTTGATTTTGAGGAAGAATGCGAATTAAATGCTCTGGGAGCTCTGTCGTACGTTATAATTGCCGTCATTGTGGAGTTCATTTTGCCACTTTTAATAGTCTGTTTTTTCAACTTAGTAATTTATCTACACATACTGAGACGACTACAACATCCCGTAAATCAAAATGCATCTGATGATGTAGCGTTAATGCCTTCCAATCGAGGACTCATCGGCACACCAGCTAAACAGACAGAGAAGAACGTAAACCAAACAATTACTTCGGAGATGGCTACAGTGGAATTTGATTCTTCGTATAAGTCTTCGAATTGTACGACGGAAGAAAATGTCAAATCTTATCAAATTCAACCTAAACATGCTTCGTCTTCAGCCAACTCTGGATCGCCTTCAAATTCGACGTCTAAGAATCAGAAATCTAGTGTTAGAAAATCTCGCAAAAAGGCGGCCACAACGCTTAGTATCTTAATCGTGGCGTTTATTGTCTGCTGGTTGCCTTACAATGTTGTGGCAATCATTCGACATATCTCAAGCGACCTGGTGAACGTACGAACATGGGACATGGTGAACTATCTGCTTTGGTTTAATTCTGCAGTTAATCCTGTCTTATATGCAACCACGAACGTCCATTTTCGGCGAAATTTCAGTGAATTGTTGGGCAAGTTATGCACACCATTTAAGCGAATCTTATGTATGAAATAAACCTGAGGCTCACTATATTATGTATTTTTTGTTAAAGAACAAATATTTGTACTGAGGCTTCACGTTGGTATGAGGTTAGCTCCCCGGTTAGGGCGATCATTTACATTCGCATATTCCTATTCTCTACTCATTATTATAGGCCTTTATTTATAAACAGTAGAACCCCTATTAAGGGGACACCTTCGGGACCAAAAAAGTGTCCCCTTAATATTCAGGGGACACTAACCAAAAATGTGAAATTGTCCCCTTAATAGGGGTTTTAGGCATGTTGTCATATAATATGACATACTGTACAATTCTTCATAATTTTATTTGTATTAACATAATTAGTTACAGTAGAATCATAACTAATAACAATAATTTTCAAGGGAAATGCAATTCATTTATAATATGAAATCAGCAGAAATGTAATTAAAAAAACAGTACAGTAGTTTTATATGTTCCCAATATTGTTTCATGATGCAATGTTAATGAATGAATTAGAATCCTATAAAAGTACACGAAAAACGAAGAAAAAGAAATCCCAATGGTTAAGGGTCAAAATTGACAATATTGGTTTATACGAAGTAAGACATGCACTATGCCTTACCGATATTCACTTTAAGGCCAGTGGAAAGAAAATTCTGGTTTATTGCTCAGATTTCAAATTTCAAAACTTTTAAACACTAGAACAATTTCATTAAAAAGAATAAGTTATTCATACATATACCAGAATAATTTAAATAAAGCCAATAAAAAATTGGACAAAGTACAGACTCGGACTTGGGAAACAATGTCCTTGGGTTGTGTTTTTATTGGAATTAAAGAGTTTAATAAGCTGTGATTTCTTAATTAACAATGAAAAAGCAAAAAAGAAATGGTCAATGATTGACCTTAACAAAATACAAAAATATTATATTGGTTAAACTTGGTGAAAACAATTTCACCATATTATAGTCTGAAGGGAAACTATTTCGAAAAAATAATGTAGCCTATAAATATTGTATATACACTGTAGTGTTTATAAATACAAGCGAACAAACTTTAAAAAA